ACCACAGCTGGACACAATTACATTTAAGTACATTAGTATTTCAAATTCTTTAGATGCGTCTTTTTATGTGTTTTGTTGTTTGTTGTAGTTTAAATGTCTAGTTGTATTTCTGTGAAACTGTGAAAGATAAATTCGCCAGCTTTTTGCTTCTGATTCTAGGTCAACTTGCAATAGTATACAAATGTTTACTCAGATTAGAAAGATTTATTAATTCACAAGTTCATATGATTCGGCTTGGCCTCCATAACAGATTTAAGCTCTAATATTGCCTATAGAGACAAACATAAATTTTCAAATGAGACAGGATCACAAGATGGGAATTTTTAAATTGCCTAAAAGAGTTTAAAAGTCCATACTAATAAGCCAACACACATAGTGTGTGCCACAATGTTGATTGACAGAGTCAATCGTTTCCAATAGAGCAATTTCTCATTCATTTTGCACTCTGTCACTGTCAGCTCTACGCTGAGCTCATATCTGTCTTAGTACCCTTAAAATAAACAGACTAAATGTGTGAATAAAGTCATTTTTCTTTTAATACCAGAGAGTGGTATTAAAGATGAAATGTGTAATTTCTTTGTCACTAGCATCAACAAACTGCATTGCGAAATTAATGGCTGTTTTCAAAAAGCTTTTCCAAACATCCTCTCCCTCTGCCATTGGTCAAACAAACAGACAGTCCCACCCAAAATGTCTGCTATTGGATGAGCCAATGTTGCTGTTGTCAGGCTGATCGGGATGCTTAAACATACAGAGCCACACTGTTCACACTTTTCTGGGAAATAAACATACCAGCGACTGACTTGTAGTTCTTTTTGCATATTAAACTGGGATGGAAAACATTTTAGCATAAAAAAACCATGCACTTCATATTTAAGTGGTTGTATGGTGAGTTTGTGTGAGAGAAAGAGACATTTTAAGAGAAACTTATGCTTGGAACTTAGCCTCTATTTAGTCAATATATAAACAGTAATTCTACCCCAAATTATCATAAGGATTATGTTTAATGTTTACTCTATTCAGGGTTCCCACAACCTGACCAATGTATTTACATAACTTCTCCATGACATTTTCAATTATTTGTGATTAGATACAGATTTTATGGAGACTGAACAAACAATGGCAATATCAACACAAATGTACATGACTTTTCAATAATTTTTTAACACTTTCATTGATTGTCACTTGTTTCCATGCCTGAAAAAACTATTTACAAAATTAGGAAATGTTAAATTTTCATGCAGTACATTGTGCACCCAAATAATGTTTAGACAAGTACATCATTGCTTTAGATAGAATATAGCCTATCAAATCAAGTGGCATTTGCAACAAATGATGCATGATTAATTTAAATGTCCAAATACTTTTTGTGGCCACTGCATATATGTATTTACACCGTATACACATAGAGCCTTTTATATACTACATACATAGCATCTATCGAACGTATATTGTTGAGAGACGGGTCAAAAAAGGACAGTTCATGTGAACATGACCCAACATTACTCAACATCCAAGACCTCAATTATACGGCAAACAAAACAGTGCCTACTTCATGACATTTTCTCAAGGGATAAGAAAAACCCTAAAAGCTCTTGAATATACCTCTCTTACCTAACACTGTGCATCTTTTATGAGCAGTTAGCAGAGTGAAAAAGCCACACTGAGGAACACTGCTGGCTTTTCATGTGCTATTTCTCCCCCGCCTTCCATTCATGTTTGGGAAGCAGGTGTAAATAAAGAACAACTTTGACGCCAAGGGATCATGAAATCCTGTGGAAAGGGTGGGGTAATCATACCCCCTCCCATAACTGGCTTAATGCTAAAGAGAAACTCAGTGACACCGGCATGAAGGATGTTGAGTTGCTCTTAAACCGAGTGTGTGTTGTTGTTGTTGTTTTACTTCTTTGACTTGGGGCGGCGCGGGATCAGAGATTATCTTACTATAGGGAGATGAGTCTGTATTACTTACTATTGGAGAAAGCATAACGGCTAACTTGGATCACGTGTCCCTTAATAACAAATCACATTACAGCCTTGACGCCACTGAATTTCAGTCAGAGTTGTGTGACACTCAATCGCCGTTTACAGATACCATAGAGCTCCGGAGGTTGACGTCACGCAATCTAAACTCCGCCATTTTGCCAGGCCATCAGGAGAGCGCTAGAGCGGCTGTAGCATTGGTATCGACAGCTGTACAACAATAATTTAAAACCAGACTATTTAGACCTTACAAACCTTACTATTTCAACATGGTGGACAGCTGCTGGGCGCAAGGATGCCAGGGGCTAGGGTTGCCAACGGTCCCGTATAATTGGGCTTAATTTATGTGTCCCGTACGTGACCTCCCTTGG